TCACCATCTGTTAAAACCAACATGTACCCTCTACCCTGTTGAGTGTTCATCGTGTGTGTGTGTGTGTGTGTGTGTGTGTGTGTGTGTGTGTGTGTGTGTGTGTGTGAGATTGGGTCAGGTAATGAATGACTCACAGGTTAAGGATGCAGGGAAGAAGCAGACACGGACAAGCTGGTTGTCCTTCTGGAGATACTAATGTTTTGAAATGTTTTTGTCCGTTTTCAATACATTTCAATACAGTGTGTAATTTAATATAATTGTATGTGTTTTCTTATTTTCTAATGTTTTTTTTTTCTTTCCAATCTTTTTTCCCTCAACAAGCATCGGCAGTCTGAAATGATGCAACATCCTGATGCTTCCACCTATGAGAACCCCATCGCTCTGCAGGCNTTCCCCCATTTTTCGACGCTGCGGTTTATATAACGGTGCGGCTAATCTATGGATTTTTACAGCTAACGGCCACTACCTTTAACTCTATGGGCTCTATGGCCGGTCCGCGGACCCCCACCTTTAAGCGGCGGGTTCCAGCAGGAAAAGCTGGAGCCTGGAAAAGAGTGAGACAGGTAGCGCGCAAAAGTAAAAGTGGAACCGAGAGTGGTATGCCGCTGCTGCGGTTTATATTCAGGTGCGCCTTATAGTCCGAAAATTACGGTAATTTAATATAATTGTATGTGTTTTCTTATTTTCTAATGTTTTTTTTTTCTTTCCAATCTTTTTTCCCTCAACAAGCATCGGCAGTCTGAAATGATGCAACATCCTGATGCTTCCACCTATGAGAACCCCATCGCTCTGCAGGCCACGTTCAAAAATACTCCTCTGTCAAAGTAAACCTGAAGGAATGAGTGGAAGTTTTCGTGAGAGGGCCAATAAAAAAAATAAAAAATAGAACACCTCCTCAAAATCAATGTGATCATGAACTTCTAAAGCTGTAATTAGTAATGGTTTTACACAGCTGTATTTAATTTTACATTTTAATAATTTCAATACATCTATTCATTTTTTTTCTATTATTGCAAAGTTTTATTTTAAGGTTATAATGGTTTTTGCCTGTTCTCTGCTAGTATTGCTGTTTGTAATTGTTTGGTTTGACCTTTTCTTTATTTTTGTCCAAGTATGAATAAAGGATGAATGTATTAATGTCTAAATATGAATAGTGGCATCACATTTGAACTGTATACTGCACTATAAGTAGATTACTTACACTTACTTTTGCACATGTTCCTGTTATTCATTATTAAATATCTTGTTAAGTATTCTAGCTGGAAGCGGGAACATAACAAAGCGTAAAAAGGACTCTGCCAGTCGCAGGGTGTCGGCCCGGATCTAGACTGCCAACAGTTGTCAGCTGCAGCAAACAATTGCTTCGATGTTTTCCCTCACAACGTGAGTTTGACCAATAGCTCTGTTCAACTGCAAACATGGAGAAGCTAAGATCACTGATGAGAAAGAAGCTGTTGTGATAGGTCACAGTCATATTTTCATCCTTCATTTAGGCTTTTGAACACAACCCAGCTGCATCACACTCACAGCCAGAGGTGGAAGAAGTCCTTAGATGTTGTACTGTAAATGTATAGTACCAGAGTGTAGGAATACTCTGTTACAAGTAGAAGGCCTGCACTCAAGTAAAAAAACTAAAGTAAAACTCAAACTACCAAAGTAAAGGTACTAATTATGCAGATTGGTCCATTTTAGAATAATATATATTATATATGTTGATTATAAGTATTGATCATTAAAGTGTTCTCAAAGCTGGTAAAGGTGCAGCTAGTTTTAATGACGTTGTATACTGCAGGGTAGCTTGTGAATTTACTCCAGATGTAACTAAAGTCTGATTTAACGGTTGGTTATAATTAATCCAAATGTAGTGGAGTAAAAGTACACGATTAACCTCTGAGTTGTAGTCGAGTAGAAGTACAAAGTAGCAGCACATTGAAATACTCAAGTAAAGTACAAGTATCTCAAATTGTACTTACTTAATAAATGTACTTAGTTACTTTACACCACTGCTCACAGCTACTGTTTAAATTCAATTAATCTAGTACCCAGTTCTGTTTTTACCGATGATGTCATGAAAGACGGAAGGATTTGATTGGTTGTTTAATCGAGTCACGCTTTTTAACATTGTATTACTATAAAATCGCCTTATCTGACACAGTGACTATTGAAATAGACACACATTCATTCTGAACCCATACTGGAAAAATAAGGAATTCCTAATTTCTTTAGAATTCCCATAGCTTTATCTACTCTTAAGAAATAAGCATTTCAGCTCATTTGTGATGTTCTGTAGGTGTTGTAGGACATTCTGAGACTTTTGGGGTGATTCTAAAAGAAGAGAAGCTGCACACGACTTCAGTAGGACCGCTTTCTGTACGACACACAATTTGGCGCTATCACTTCTGCCTGACAATTTTCGGTAATTTGCTGGTGCACATGCCGGTTTATTATGTCAAATTGAATTATCAAACAATCAGCAGACGTTGTATTAAGAGGTTCCACAGATGCAAGTTCAAACTCAATCTTTACTTCTCTCACCTTAGATGCTACTTTTAATAATGAATTCAAACAAAACATGAACACTGACATAGTCATACTTGATACTGAATCAGCCTTATATTTGTTTAATCACCTGTTTTTTGGACTGTTTTGTACCGTCACTAACTGATGACTCACTGCTCCTCTTAATCATCTAGTAAGGGCTCAATTCATCAACAAAAAGGTTAAATGGAAAAATTCATTACAATCAGTTCCTCATAAGCCATGATTAGTTTGTTCCCTGTTCTCAAGGAATTATATAGTCTGATGTGATGAAGCACCTTTGCAGCAGCATCCATCCTGCCACATGTTGTTCCAGTCGACTAGACATGAGACATGTTGGTTATTTTGTCCGTCCATCCTCGGCCAGTGGGTCCAAAGATGACAAATCTATAACTCATTGATTTTACGTAGTAGCAAGCAGACACAGACATGGGGGTGAAAACATAAACCTCTTTCCTGATTGGAAAAAGTAACTGCTGCATAACTTAACTTTCCACATATGATGATAATAAAAAAATCTTTGGAAAAGTACTCAGAATGAGATCAGAGTCCTGTCGGGTTCTCAGACAGAACAGCAAACTCCGACAAAATCAAGAAATTCCACAGGAAGCACTGACACGCTGGTTGCTTCAATCTTTGCTTTGATTACACGCTTCAATTATTATCCATGGAGATCTGGCTATTGTATGGCTGCCATGCTAAATTCCTGCGTAATGTGATTAAATTGTTGGCAGTTTAGTCTGTGTCACTGTTTAATCCCTAAAAATAGACAATCCAGGTCAAAGCCTCCATGGGCCGATTGCCGTAATGTCTTTTCATGCCCTTGCTGAACGTTTTAGTGCCGGGCTTTCATGTTTAGACGGGCTATTTTGTGTGTGCCAAAAATAGCAGACAAATGTTAGGAATTTTATGTGATCTCACATTGCATTAGAAAAAACCCTGCATCCGTCAATCATTTGCTTGCTGCCTCCACCACTCGCCCATTCACTGCTGCATTCCTCACATTCCTCCATTCAACAAAGGTCAGAGAAGAGTGAGGGGGGGGAAAAAGATAAAAAGTAGAAGATATCCGGAACGTGGGTGGTTTAGGAAATGAATAGTTGGCCTGTGAAAACCGCTATTTAGGACTGGCCCAACCTCCCCCCCTTACACACACACGCACACCGAAACACACAGACTCTCCATTACCCCATATGGCATTATCTTTGATGACAAAAGGAGGTCAGACGAGTCAGCCCTACAACCGTTATGACGTATGTTTCCATGCATTGCTTTCCCTGACACAAACTTCAGAAGATTAGCATTTGAAGCCAAACACCATCTGCAATCTGACGGCAGTCACACATGCATTTAAAAAAACAAAGAGGGTTAGGTTTTTGGGAGGTTTGAGGATTTCAGGATGCAGCTCTCATGTGTGTGTATCATGGTGGGTGGATGTTCTCTATCACAAACATTTCATATATAGGAAGCAGGAAACTAGTAGCTTCTTGGAAACTCTGCAACGTCATTCATCAAATGCAATTGGAACCCACTGATAATGCAGCTTTCACAAAAAAAACAACCGCAATTTAATGAATGAAGTGAGTAACACAACTATAAAGTAAAATGTTAGCTTTTTTTAAGCTGACACTTCATCCAGAGTGACTTAAACTGAGTGTGTGAGTCTTGAGTTATTAAACAGAAGTTTAACTTGGTCATTTTCTGCCATCCCTCCAAAAATTCAGTCTAAGTTGCAGCAGCAAAAAGGAAAAGTATAATTTGTACTTTTTTGTATCAACATAACAAGGACATGTTTGAACTGTTGACTGTCACTGCAAAAATGTACATTTGGAAAATATCTGCGAAATATTAACTGTCAACACATTTAATTAGTTTTCATGCTTGTGTTTGTATTGGGTTGTGTTTTTAGCTCAGCTTGTTTGTCTGATGGTTTGTTAACAGCATTAAGCAAAAATAAAAGTTGATTTTTTGGAAACTTGGCAGAATGGTGAGCATGGGCCAATAACCATTCATTCCACTTTGGTCTGATCTGAATCACAGAGCAGATTTGCAAATTAAGTGTTACTTATCTATTTTGAAATAGGGCATTTTTGCTGCATTCGTGCGATGTCGATATAATTGCAAAAAGTTGATCCCCAATAGGAAAATAAACGCAAAACAGTCATCAAGTGATGTTCACACATTATGAATAATAAACGATATAACCTTAAAAGAAACATTTGAATGCAACATGTTCTTGGCAGAGGTCTGCACTCTCCGAGAAACCTTTTTCCAGTGGTGGGCCGTCAGGGCCAGCAAGGCCTTCTCTGCTGGCCTAAACACTATCAGAATCACTGACTGACCTTTTAATATAGTTTTTTCTTTAACTTGAACATGTATTAAGTGATTTATAATCTTCTATTCTCTATATTTCATAGCTTTTCTCTGTGCTGCGCTTGGTTGCTTGTATAAATAAATGTCAATGAAACTGTTGCATTGACCAATCCAATTTCGAGTTGGCGACACCGGGGCCATAGCAGGCATATGATGACGTTTGAAAACGTTTGGGGAAACCCAAGTGGATCTTCAGCTTGACGAAAAAGTGTGCAAGGAGCTCAACAATGGTCAGAAATACGATTGCACACTCACAACTTTCAGCATTAGCCTCCATGGTATTAGAACAGGACTTATTGTTGGAACTGAAAACTCTTCTTGAGGAAAGAAAGGAGGATGGATTTTGTGTACAATGTATTGGTGAGTGTATACTATAATGACGTTTATTTAATTTTTTTTATATTTCCTTGTCATTTTAAAATGTTGTGACATGTTTACATGCTTTAATGTTAAAAAAGTTCAATATTTTTCTCATGCACGCCGGTGCTGCAGCACCACTTTTCACCCTCTGTCTGAAACAATAGCCCAGGCTGTTCTGATTGGTCAGCTGACCCGTGTTGCAACTGTCTCCGGTCTCCCCTATTTATATGATTCCGTTTTCTTCAAGTTTGTATCTTCTTGGTCGAATGCGATAACAGCGTCAGCTAAATGCAATGTAATGTAATGTCACCTCAACCGCACGTACCTATGAGTGCATTTCAATCCCCATGTTTCTTTTAAACATTTCCAATTAATAGGAGTGGAAATGCCCAAAAATATATTTGACAGATGTTTGATTAAACATCTGTATTAAAGTTATTTGAATAAAAATCAAAACTTATATTAAAAACCTTAAATTTCCCTCAGTTGCTAAATAATGCGGATGAAATTATCAGACATATGAAGCCATGAGGAGGCTGTTACCAACTTAAAACGAT